CCCCTGCCGCCCCTCCTTCTTTGGACTTTGGGTGAGGGGGGTATGGGACTTGGTGGCGGGGGAGGGTGGTTACAGATACACTGCAGCGGGGCTCTCTCCTCCTGCCTCCGGTCCTGCAGAACATCCACAAGGCGCCGGAGCGTGTCTGTTTGCTCCCTCATCAGTCCAAGCAGCGTTTGAGTCGCCTGCTGGTCTTCCTGACGCCACCTCTCCTCCCGTTCCATGTTTGCTCTGTGCATTTGGGACAAGTTCTCCCTCCACTGTGTCTGCTGGGCTGCCTGGGCTCGGGAGCAGCACATTAGTTCTGAGAACATGTCCTCCCGCGTCGTCTTCTTCCTCCGCCTAATCTGCGCTAGCCTCTGGGAGTGTGATGCCAGGCTGGGTTGGGAGACAGTCGCAGATGTGGCTGTGGGAATGGGAAAAAGGGAGTAAATTCCTCAGAAAGATAAATGTAGTTGTGAACAAAGAACATAGTCTTTCTCTGTGAACAAGACCGTGCACTGCACTTATCACATGCGCATTCAGGACAAGGTCGAATTTTCGGCCCTCGCCTTCAGTGCCTGTGGTCTTGCAGAGGCGATCTGAGAAGCGGGGCAGGACACCAGAATTTGTGTAGCGGGCAAACATGGTAAGCCGTAGACATGTGGCTGCTTAAAACTTTAATAGTAGCACTGGCCTCCTTTCACATTGAAAGCAATGCCAGTCTCTGCTGCCAGCAATCAGGCAAGCATGAACTCTGCCCCTGTCCCACCCCCTAGCGGCTGTCCCAGGGAAAGATCCCTGTATGCTGCCCCTCTCCCGCCTCCACCGCGTGGCTGTAAAGCAGTCCCAATACTAACATTCCCCTACCTAATTCAAAGCAGGGCATCATGAGCGACATCACCCTGATGAGGATCTCGGACAGCGAAAAGGAACGGATGCTTAGGGAAAGCCTGCAAAAACCAGGGCCGTATGCCGCCATGCTCTGCAGGGCAATGATCCCTGAGTACTTGATTGTCTCCTGGCGCGGAAACGTTTCGTACCACGGAGGACCCAATAAGGTCGCTCTCCCCAGGAACCTGATGAACAGGCTTGGACATTACCTCCAGGAGAGCTTCGTTGAGATCTCCCATGAGGATTTCATCTCTATCCCCAGACATATAGACCGGATTTTGGTGTAGCTGCACTGGCATGGACTAAAGAGTGGAGCGTCTTGGGCAGCAGAATCATGAAAAACCGGACATTATTAGATTTTTTTTAAATAGTTGGGACTAAATAGTTAAGCGCCTAGGACAAAGAAATCATGAAAAACCCATTGTTAATATTATAAATATTCCAGTTCTGTTAAAAATAAATGTTTACATGTTTAAAACACTTACTGCTTGATCCTTCCCCTGATTCTGTGTCCGGGGTAACAGCTGGGGACGGTTGGTAGGGGATCTCTGTAAGGGTGATGAAGAGCTCCTGGCTGTCGGGGAAATCAGCGGTGCAAGCGCTGTCGACTGCCTCGTCCTCCTCATCTCCTTCCTCATCTTCCCCGTCCGCTAACATGTCCGAGGAACCGGCCGCGGACAATATCCCATCCTCAGAGTCCATGGTCATGGGTGGGGTAGTGGTGGCGGCCGCACCTAGGATGGAATGCAGTGCCTCGTAGAAACGGGATGTGTGGGGCTGGGATCCGGAGCGTCCGTTTGCCTCTTTGGTCTTCTGGTAGCCTTGTCTCAGCTCCTTGATTTTCACGCGGCACTGCGTTGCATCCCGGCTGTATCCTCTCTCTGCCATGGCTTTAGAGATCTTCTCATAGATCTTTGCATTCCGTCTTTTGGAGCGCAGCTCGGAAAGCACGGACTCATCGCCCCACACAGCGATGAGATCCAAGACTTCCCGATCAGTCCATGCTGGGGCCCTCTTTCTATTCTGGGATTGCACGGTCACCTCTGCTGGAGAGCTCTGCATCGTTGCCAGTGCTGCTGAGCTCGCCACGATGTCCAAACAGGAAATGCGATTCAAACTGCCCAGACAGGAAAATGAATTCAAATTTTCCCGGGGCTTTTCCTGTGTGGCTGGTCAGAGCATCTGAGCTCGGACTGCTGTCCAGAGCGTCAACAGAGTGGTGCACTGTGGGATAGCTCCCGGAGCTATTAGCGTCGATTTCCATCCACACCTAGCCTAATTCGATATGGCCATTTCAAATTTAGCGCTACTCCTCTCGTTGGGGAGGAGTACAGAAGTCGAATTTAAGAGAGCTCTATGTCGAACTAAATAGCTTCGTGGTGTGGATGGGTGCAGGGTTAATTCGATGTAACGGCGCTAAATTCGACATAAACGCCTAGTGTAGACCAGGCCTTAGAGACTAACAAATTTATTAGAGCATAAGCTTTCGTGGGCTACATCCGAAGAAGTGGGCTGTAGCCCACGAAAGCTTATGCTCTAATAAATTTGTTAGTCTCTAAGGTGCCACAAGTACTCCTGTTCTTTTTTGGTTAAACAAAGTCTACTCTTATCCCTGCACGACCTCATTAAGTCCATGACATTGCACAGATGTAACAAAGCTGAATCTGGGACCATATGTTTGTTTATTATCAGTCCCATAGACATCACTCCAACAAGGATAGCACTGACTCGATTTCGGTAAAGCATAACTGCGCCCCACAGAATACTTCAGAAGTCCTCTTGGAGAGGACATGTTTCTCTAATATAGCACAACCAAGTTGTTCTTAAGAGTCACTCACATTTTTGTTTGTGTTGCACCAAGCATATCTATCAGACCCCAAAAGTACATTTTTACATATTGCATGTGTACACACTATGCCTAAAGAAGAAACTGAAGATGCTTTTTTATACCACAAAAGAAACAATGTGAACTTCCCCAGAATAGAAGTGGGTGGAGGGATAGGATTTTTATCCAAGAGAAGGAATTATCTGATGGAGAAAGCACTATTTTAACTAGGGAAAGCAGAATGAATGGAGACATGCAAGATAGTTATTGCTCAGTATTTTCTATGAATTTAGGACAAAGTTTTGAAACCACTTATTTCATTACTGATCACTTCAAATTCTGCCACTTCAAGATATATATGGGGAATGAGACATTCACACACACCCTAATCATCCTTTGTAGTTCCTTTGGGTAAACATATGACAGCAGATAGTAGAAATATGGCTCACTGTGCAGAAGAAGTTGTAATCTATTCCAGGGAGAGCTTTAAAAAAAAAAATATGAAAAGGAGATGGTCAATCCTCCAGTTCTGCATCTGTTTCACATGTAAAGGTGTGTTTGAAATATATACATTACAAGTTTTATGTATACTTCCATGCTCTCACCCTCAAATTCTACTTTGCAACTCCAGGAACTACTACCACGCAGAACACTGACTTGAAACTAGTCACAAAATTATGATCTGGAACACTTTAATGCTGTATACAGTTCTATTTGACATTATTTCCATTAGTTGCATTAAGTGGGTCAGATACTAGCATCAGAGAATTTAAAAGGCAAAAGCAGAGAATATCTGCTCTTAATTGATTACTTGTTGAATTTTCTTGTGTATCTTTCAGAATGAAAACCATGGGGTGGGACAAGGAAAGTAAAGGAATTTGGTTTGGATCAGACTTTTACAGAAAGCTAAGTAGAAAGAACCCCACAGGTGGCTTTACACATCCAATCCAAACTCAGCTAATAGAAACCAAAATATCTCAATCTCCTGAAGATAAAGAATTTGCAAAGCCACATCAGAATAAAACTCTGCCATATTTGAATCTGCAGACACAGTGCATATTTTACACCTGATATGATCATTTTGGGTTAACAAAAAATAAAATGATGTGTTTAGTTCATATACATGCAAGCCTACAGAACTGAATCACCTAAGAACATTAAATTACATCACCTCTGAAAACCCCCAAAGAAAATTATTCCAAGAATTTTCTCTGCCTTAGCATTTTAGTGTTCAAATTTGCATTGATTAAAAAGAGATCATGAATCTGAGCCCTACAAAATATAAAAGTATTTTTAAAAATAAATTGCTTTGCAATAACCAGAAATGGTTATTACATACAGAAACTGCTAATATATAGCACTTTCAGCAGTCATGGAAACTTTTTTTTAAATATAAAGAGAAAGGTTGTTGTCAGGTATTACCAGCTCCTAATGGCATCATAAAGATGTATGTCTTTAAGCCATGTTACAATATGCAACAGTACTCTGGCTACATATGCAACTGTTGCAGAATTCCAAAAGGAGAAACCTTTTCCTGTTATTCTACAGAGAACAGGGGTGAAAGGGAGTGTGCAGGAACAATCAATCATCTTTCAAAAACACCAACAAAACTGTTTTATAAATTGAAAATTAAATAAATGATAGTTAAATCACACATTTTTGTATTTTTGAAATGTTTGCCCTCAAAAGATATATTAGAAATATTACTGAGAATAATAAGCATAGTATTCCTGAAGGCCCTGGTTTTTAGAAACATAGAACTAATACTTTTCAGAAGCATTAAAATAAACTAATGTTATACATTCAGACGGAGAGAATTCTATACAGTGTTGGGTGACAATTGGCATTAAATGCTCTTTCTCCTAGAATCCAGGTTATTGTTTAATCTTTACCTATCTGAATGACTGAAGGCTTACCATCATACATATCAAAACTAACAGTGCACATCCATTTCCCCGACTACCTCCCAGCTCTTAAATGGAAAACACTATTTTTGTATTACAACAAAAAATGTGCATGGAAAAACAATACACGCAGTTTTGGAAGGCTGAATACCCCCAAATAAATGCAATTAGACACAAAAACATGACAATTACTCATTGACGGAAATAGCATTGACACACGTAAGAAAAAAAAAGCAGATATTCGAAAATAAAAACCACATGATCAAGCAATAGATCAAGATTATTTTCTCCCGTCCAATTCCCCTGGGAATGGCTCAGGTCCGCAGTAATGAAGCAACCAGGCAGGAACCAGCATCAAAGAAAGGGAAGAAGAAGACGCCACCTACCTGTCCCAAAGGCTTTGGCCACCAGCCACGATACATTACAGGCGATTTTAGCCCTGGTGAAATCATAATGGTCAAAAGGTTTGACGGCAGGAACAATAAATGTCTTTCTCATTTCCTTGAGGTCTGCAGCATCCCCCATCTTTTTACAGCACCTTCTCTTTTATTTACATGATTCTTCTTCCCAAGCCCTCCCCCCACAAAAAATAAATAAAAAAAAACGTATAAAAAATAGACGCGGCGGCAGCAGCAGCAGCAGCTGATGGTGATGATGAACTCAGCTGTCCATATGGGGTGATGCCTCCTCTGCACAGGAACGTAGCAGAGCCTCTTCTTTCTCCTTCCCTCGCTCTTTGTCTCAGGTCATACAGACAAGGCCCCCGCTCCCCAAAATGACAAGTTTATGACCCCCCCACTCCCTTTGCTAGGGAAATACCCCCCAGCAAGGGCTGGTCCCGCGGGGATCCCCCCGCAGCCCGGCCTCCCCGCTCCGCAGGCAGGGACGGAGCCCCCGCGGGAGCTGGCAGTGATTTCCCCGCAGCGGCAGGAAGCGGGGACCTGGCCCTTCCCGGCCGCCGCTGAGACACAAGAGATGTCAAAATTCCCAGCGCAGGCTCCGGGCGCGGCGCAGCCCCCGCGCCTTCGCCTCCCCTCAGCGGAGACCCCCGGGCGGTGGGGGAGGGGGCGGCGGCTGCTGCCCCTGCTAGCGCCCCGGCTCCCTTTGGGGCTGCCGCTAATTAACGCCTCTCGGCTCCTGTCCTGTCCCGCCCAGCCGCTGCGGCTTTCCCCGGCCGCTGCCGCACTGGATGGGAGAGCAGCTCCGCGCACGGCGCATGCGCCCCTCGCCCCCTCCTCAGCGTGAGGCGGCCCTGGGCTGGGCGGGGCGCAGCGGCTGGCTAGAGGCGGGGCCTCCGCAGCCCTGGCGGGGAATGGCGTCACGTGGCCGGCCGGACAATGGGGCATTCTTGACGCCAGGCCAAGGCCGGGCGGCTCCCAGGCGCAGCCAGCCCTCGGGGGCCCCAGTGCCAGGGGAGCGCGGGCGCTTCCCGCCGGGGGGAGGAAAGGAGAAGCGTGCGGTGCTCCATGGACGTGCCGAGAGGGACTGGACAGGGGCTCCGGAAAGGAGCAGCAGCGGCACGAGCCCTCCCACTGCATAGGCCAGTAGCCAAGTGGGACCTTCTACAGGGGACACTAGGAAATTCGCACGCTTATCGACCCTGGATGTTAACGTTTCTAGGGCACGTCCTGTCGTAGTGGGTTTGTCCCAGTATCCTTGGCTAAAATCATTCCTCCCTCTTATATTAGTAGCATTGAAGTGGTGCCTAAGAACCCCGTTCACGGACTAGTACCTAAGTGTGCTAGGTGCTGTACAGACACATCAAAAAGATGGTCACTGCCTCAAAGAGTTTGCAATTCACGTAAGTTTACAACTCTTTTCGCTAGTGGGTGGTTGTTCTCAAGGACGCTGCATTTGGGTAGGGACGGCTGTCTGTAATTTGCCAAATGTTTTGGGATTAAAAGTATCGGGGGTAGCCGTGTTAGTCTCTATCTACAAAAACAACAAGGAGTCTGGTGGCACCTTAAAGACTAACAGATTTATTTGGGCATAAGCTTTCGTGGATATAAACCTCACTTCTTCAGATGCATAGAGTGAAAGTTACAGATGTAGGCATTATATACTGACACATGAAGAGAAGGGAGTTACTTCGCAAGTGGAGAACCAGTGTTGACAGGGCCAATTCAATCAGGGTGGATGTAGTCCACTCCCAATAATAGATGAGGAGGTGTCAATTCCAGGAGAGGAAAAGCTGCTTCTGTAATGAGGCAGGCCAGTCCTCGCTTACAGACAACCCCCCAACCTGAAGCAAATACTCACCAGCAACTACACACCACACCACAGAAACACCAACCCAGGAACCAATCCCTGTAGCAAACCTCGTTGCCTACTCTGTCCCCATATCTACTCTGGCAACACCATCAGAGGACCCAACCACATCAGCCACACCATCAAGGGCTCATTCACCTGCACATCTACTAATGTTATATATGCCATCATGTGCCAGCAATGCCCCTCTGCCATGTACATTGGCCAAACCGGACAGTCTCTCTGCAAAAGAAAAAATGGACACAAATCGGACATCAGGAATGGTAACATTCAAAAGCCAGTAAATTAACACTTCAATCTCCCTTGTCATTCTATTACAGATTTAAAAGTCACTATCATTGAATAAAAAAACTTCAGAAACAGACTTCAAAGAGAAACATCAGAACTAAAATTCATTTGCAAATTTAACACCATTAATCTGGGCTTGAATAGGGACAGGGAGTGGCTGGCTCATTACAGAAGCAGCTTTTCCTCTCCTGGAATTGACACCTCCTCATCTATTATTGGGAGTGGACTACATCCACCCTGATTGAATTGGCCCTGTCAACACTGGTTCTCCACTTGCGAAGTAACTCCCTTCTCTCCATGTGTCAGTATATAATGCCTGCATCTGTAACTTTCACTCTATGCATCTGAAGAAGTGAGGTTTTTACCCACGAAAGCTTATGCCCAAATAAATCTGTTAGTCTTTAAGGTGCCACCAGACTCCTTGGGATTAAAAGGGATTATGATGGAGAAAATCTTATGGCAGGGAGTCTATAGCTTTTATTAGTGTGTAGATTACATTTTAATTAAGAGATTCTCATAGACCATCTCCTGTCCAACTCATAAATGCATGGACCACCTTCCCTCATAACTGCATGAAATCTTTGGGACAATTTGCTTACTTGGAAAAGTAGTACCAGTAATATTATTGTATTATTAAAATAAAATACACTATTGCATGTCTTTTAATATGATTTATCAGATGGAAACAAGAAGGAGCAAACACTATTAGCCAGCTTTAGGTACAACAATAGCAAAAGATCTGTAGATCAACACAATGTACACAATTTGAGAACTGTATTATGCAATAAGAAAAATATTACATTTGTATATATTTAAAGAAACAAGTGAGGACTCTATGACCAACAATATATGTGTGTGTATAGGCATCCAATTTTTAATATTGTCTGTGCTGCATTCTGTCAAAATATTTTTTATTCTTCTCCATTGGACCTTTTAACATTTAAATGCCAACTAATTGAAGAAGGCAAGAACTAGTTTTATATATATATATATATATATATATATATATTCCATAAAATAGATAGAATTCCATACAAAAACATGCTACACCTGCATTGTTTAACATCTAGAAGTCAGAAAATGCTATAGTTAAGGCTGCACACTAGCTGGGATGGGGATTATTGATGAGAAAGTAAAACACAAAAAGTACTTGCTTTTAAATAAATAAAATCTGTCATTCCAATTTTAAATATAACAGTTTTGATGTAATTCAAGATTTGTGACATATACTTGATAATGTCCCTTTATTGACCTACTGCTCCCTAGGCTTGGAATAGCCTCCTATCTCCATCCACCAATCTTTTTATCTTAATTCCTCTTTAAAATCAACTTATTCTTTAAATTCTTCCTCACTAATGTTGCATCCACACACTCTACCTGAACTACTGTCTTCCGTTTCTTTTTATGCGTGAGTTAGATTCTAATACTGTTTTGGACTGGAACTGAATATTTTTTCATTATTTGCCCTGTGAGGCACCCTGTATACTTCTGATACAATAGCCTGCACATCCATATTATGTACATATGATGGCATGGTGAAGTTTAAATTTTTATTGACATGAGTTTGGCATTATTAGTAATTGAGTGGAGAAGCCCTGAGTGAGTTATATAGCCTATCCAAAACAAATAGCAATAGAACATCACTTCCTTTGTTTACATACAGTTCCTAACATAGTGGGTCTTGGATCCTGATTTCTGCTATATGAATTATAATTATTAGTAATAGTGCCAAACCAACATAGAGACCCTGACTCAGGAGAGCAATCCCTATTCAGGAAGGCTTCTTAAGCACAAGCTTAACTTTAAGATTTACTGAACAGAGATTATTATTTTTATGTTTTCATTATTATTTGTATTATTGTAGTGCCTAGGAGCCCTTTTGACGTAAGCAGTTAGTTAATATTCAGGGTCTGATGGCTTGTTTCTGTTAGGGAGAGAAGTTGGGGATGGGGCTATGTATTTCTTTAATGCAGTCCTGCTTATTAACAAATAATGTACATAAAGTCCTATTTCCCTGAACACAGCAGGGCTCAAACAGTAGGAGACAGTTGCTTTGCTCATGATTCTAAAGCCACTTTCCATCCAGGACTCTACCCAAAAACTCACTCTCTTAGCTTTTTCTCAGAAATCACACTACACATGCTTCTCTGACTGTCTCTGAGACTTCCTTGCTCCGTTCTGTGTGTGCTTCTCTGGTGTTTCTGATCACTCTCTCACACACGCTGCTCAATCAAACAATACCCAGCCCCCTGTGTTTGCATTCCGACCCCAGGGAAATCCCCTCAAACTTCATAGTTCAACCCTTATTCCAGCTTTCCACAATGGCCTGTGTTTTGTTTCAACTGTTTATTCCATAAAGGAGCCCAATTGTTTTTTATGTTGTTGACTAATATATAATGGCTAGCATATGTAATCTGCATTACACACACACACACACAGAGTAAGCATTAAGCACCAATAATATTAAGCACAAATATTGTAACCATGATATAGCCCAACTGGCCTATACCATAATCCTTTTCACTTATGCTAAGTATCCCATAACTCCTTGCATTTGGTGAAGTAAGCATTTGTCATAAGCAGATAGAACAAATGTATCTTGATTCTGACAAGTCTCCTATGTCATAGTACAAGCTAGGGAAGTACCTTCACAGACCAGTACCTAGAATGCTAGTATCCTAACAAAGATAAGGAAGAAACAGAACAAGAAATTAGGGAACTGGAACATACTGATGCTGGAAAAATTTGTATAGTGTGGGTGCCAAACTGTAAACCCTGTTTATGATGGAAACCACTTCAAGCCAGGGAGTGCAGCAGCACTCATAATTCCAGCACCTCTAATGATGGGTTGGTTTTAATGATGTTTAAAGAGATGTGTAACTTGTAAAATCATCATATAAGTTATAGCAGCTGAAATGTGTAACTTTGGGAGCATACCTGCATAAGGTGAATGTAACATCACTGCATGA